GAAAGAGACAGAGAGAGAGAGAAGAGGGGAGGAGTTGATCTTGCGAGAACTTCCGGGCGGGTGAGAATAGCCACTTTCTCATCATATATTACTTCCTCAAACTCATTTTGAGCATCACATAGATCTAGATCTAGATTCTGGATCTAGATCTAGAATCTAGAATCTAGATTTAGAATCTATATAATCTACATCTTGATTACAAACAGATTAATAAAAATTAAATCTCGTCCAACTCAAGCCCAGAAACATGATCTGTAACCAACACTAACAAAGCTGACAGCAACAAATTGGGAAGCAGTGCGGCAATTGTAATCTATCAGACATACATTACAGCTTTATTTAGAAAAAAAATGAAATGTGCAGATGAGAACAAAAAGGTCAAACAACACCCTGAACGAGCCCGAGTACGTAACATGCATTGTGGAAGTAGCAGATCACTCGCAAAGAACGCAGTTGGCTAAATTCATGACCTTGCATGACTAAGGCCGCCATTTTGGAAAATGTGCAAACCCATTCAGTGTATTTGAAACGCTCTGTTCGTTTCAAAATATGGTTTGCAACAGTATTTTTAGAGTAAAACCTCAACAAACATAGTGGGTCTTCTTGCAGATAAAAATATTGTACAAAATAGCAAGCGCACTACCGTAAAAAATGCCAGACGTAACTGTAATCCGGGGGTGTTTGCTTAGCAGAAGTAACTACAGCCAAAATGGCGACCGCAATCGAAAGATATGTACAACTTTCAAACGGTTTCATAAAATAACCAAATGACTAAAAATTGCAATACCTTAGCAGTTACTTGCATTGTCCCATCCCGAGCAAGACCAGGCTTTGCTTCACTCATGATGATGCTTTCTTTGGGTACAAAAAGATGCCGAAATGCACGGGGTAAACGCAACTTTTTCACGAGGTGACGGGCAGCAGACCTAACTAAGCGTTGTCACGTGTTATTGGGCAGACTTTCTGATTGGTTCGCTAGGGGGAGTCAGGTCAAAAGCGGGAATACAAAAACATTACAAAGTAAAACGTAAACAAAACATCACTTTGAGGGACTTCAACAATCAAAGTACGACAATTTCTCTTAAACGGTTATTTACGAACTTATCAAATATTTGAAGGCCTGTCCCGGCTTTTCATCTCAGCACGTTTACACTTATAAAATGCTGCTATCTCTTCAGTTGTAATTTATACTACCGGTAGTTGCCTACAATTCAGTGTAAAACAGGCAAAAAAAGAAAAATGAGTAGTGTTCACTACACGCGCTCGCCCACACACACACACACACACACACACACACACACACACACACACACACACACACACACACACAGCGCGCGCACACACACACCCATGCATACATTGGGCCTACGCACTACGCACATTCGCGAATGCTCGCTTCATACTCACACACAGCACACGCAAACACACACACACACACACACACACACACACACACACACAC